AGTCACAAGTAAGTCACAGGTCTTTCCAGTCAAGTCCAAGTCAAAAACAACCAAGTCGAGTCCAAAGTCAATGATCTGGAAGTCCAAGTCAAGTCCAAGTCCTTAACGTTGAACGATTCATGATTCATGATTTTTGTCCATGTCGTTCCACTTTTGTTCTAAAATATCAAATATGCTCAAGTCAACAGATGCAAGTCGATTCAAGATGCAAGTCACTGAAGTTCAAGTCTGAGTCAAGTCGTAAGTCTTTATAGATTTTATCAAGCCAAGTCAGAAGTCATTAAAATAATGACTCGAGTCTGACTCGAGTCCAAGTCATGTGACAAGTCCACACCTCTGCTCAAAAGACAAGTGGAAGTTCAGGTGAAAGAGAGACAGAATGGAAGTTGTGGCCTGAATAAAATTCTCTTCTCTGTTTAATGGGTCAGTGCTTCCATCTGGAGCCTGAGGACATGCACTGCATGCGGACTTGCTGAAAGCATTCTCAGTCACTTCAACTTGAATCTTTTCCCACAAGCACACTGACTTCTGCTGTTACCACGTTTTCAACAAATTCCAGAAAACAGGTGTTTTGTGTCAGAGACAAAAATGTATTACTCAGACAACATTTATAGTTTTGTCATTTCATTTATTCTTTTTAATTAAATGTTGGTCCACAAGGAATATGTCTCCCTTCACACGTTTATAGGTCCTGACCCCAAGGATCACTTGGGGATCTTCACACAAGGGTGCGTAGACCAGCACAAATGGCATCGGATGGTTCTATAAACATATCTCTAGCTTATCAAACCATACAGCCAAATGGATTTTACAACCCAGACTCTCTCGGATACTTAAGGAAGGTTTTGCTAAAACATCTAGCTTCCATTCCATCATTTCATTCATACCTTGTCTTGTATAATCATTCGTTTAGGGAAATAGAAATATATTAATTTTTATAAACTATATACTTGATTCTGTCTGAATTAATATGAAGTGTGTACATGTTCCCTGAATAAGTAAAAGAAACAAAGTCTTCTGATTAAACATTCAAAGACCAATCAGATTGACATTTCATATTTACAGTAAATGGACCATCACATCTTATTGATCATTTAATAAATATGTAGCCAATCCTTAACGCTACAAAGTTATGATCAAAAGTTGACCAATTTCTTGATACGTTATTCCAATATGTTTAAAAGCTGTAGAATTTAAAGAACAGCTTTGTGTTATGTTTACTAGCTGCTTTAAATGCAGCACATTATTCCTTATCTGTACGTTTGAATTGTGAGTTTTTGGTGCTGGTTTGAGACTAACTGGGAAAGACACAAAATTCATCCAAGGATGGATTTTTAGTGGCACATCATACAAGAAAGCTGTTTCTTCTTTTATGAATGTTTCTAAATCCTTCATGTTGTAATATTTCCTTCATTTTTCATTCTGAGTGGCTCCTTCATCAAAACAGTCAGACTCCGGCATGTCATAGTCTCGTTTATCTCAAGATCTGAATCTGCATCACCAAGTGCAGACATGTTTAAATGTCATTTTAGTTGCCTAAGACATTTTGCTATTTTACAACTTTTCTTTGAAAACAGATTTTTGTAATCTGGGGATTGTAAACTGTTATTCTTCACTTTTTATTCCAGCGTATTTGCAGCCATCACAGTTTTTTTTTTTGTTAGGACCAACTTTTAAAATGTTTGAGGCATGAAAATGTGTATTATACTTTAATTTGGAGGACTATAAATACGCATGTTTATGGGATAACACAAACACACATTCTGTCCTAATGAAAGATGCTTGTCTCATCCTCTTTTGTGTTATGTTTTATAAAGCTTACAGATTTTGAAATGGTGCCAATTCTAACTTACGACATTCTAAAAGTAGTGTACACATATTACAAACTAATATAAATAGTTGTATATTTAACAGTAATGAACCATAAAACCATGGCAAGAAAAACCCATCAACTATAAAACTGTTGATTTTACGTGATGTTGCTGTAAATAAATAAATTTGTGAAAACAGTAAATTGTAATTTTTTTTCTCCATAATTCTACTGTAAAGTACTCTTGCTTAGTTTTCTTTACGGAAAAATGCCTTAAAGTTTACAACGGTAAAACACTATCACTTTTACATTTATTTATTGAAAAAACAAACAGTGTTTTATTGATGGTAATGGTGTAAGGAGTTTACTTCCTGTTTCCCAGTGTGCTTAGCGGCATTTAGGTGAGCTCTGGCTGAACCGTTAGTCAGAGGGAAGTGTCTGCTCTTGACCTGACTCATGAATGTTCAATGATGATGTCATTAGAGACTCAATGCTTTTGTCTGCTATGATTTCACACAATAGTGCACTTAAAAGACATGAACAGTAATTAAGCAAGCAAAAGGAAATAAAAAATATTTAAGTAAAATAAAAAATGGAAGAATAGACAGATAATTAACATAAACATAAATAAACATTTGATGGATGGATGGATGTTAATGCAGCCAGTGTCCCATTTGTGCCGGGTAAATGCTGAAGGGAGTCTAAGGAATGAATCAAAGGAAAAGATAGATGTATGGATAGAAGAAATGTAATGATGATAGCATAGTTTTCTATGCATTTTAGGGTTTTGGGGGTATGTGAACCCCAAAAAATTATTTTCCAGACCTGCATCACCTGATATTCTACCTGCACCCCTTTGTAGGGCTGGCTAAATCCGGCCCTGATTCATTGGGTCATCAGGATCCAAAGAAGGTTTCTTAGGCCCTGTCCACACGTAGCCGGGGATCTGCCAAAACGTAGATATTTTTCTACGTTTTGGCCTGTCATCCACACGAAAACGGAGTTTTTTCACACAAAAACGGATCTTTTTAAAAACTCCGGCCAAAGTGAAGATCTGCGTTTTCTCCGTTTTGGGTGTCTGCGTGTGGACGGACAAAACCGGAGTTTTAAGGTCCGCAACATCACTTTCCGCGACAAAAAAATGCTGACATCACGTGTGCGACCTGTGTTTACACTAGCCGACAGCATGGATGCCCTCAGAGCTGCGCTCGCTTTATCAATTGTCCAAGCGCTTTTTGCTTGATTGTTTTTGCAAGCGGAATTACTGCTCCTTGCGGAAGACCACAGATGAAGGACGAGGTTAAGAACGGGGGAAGTGGCGCCGCCTACAGGTCTGGCATGTCCTTAACAACGTATTTATCCGGGTACGTGTGGACAGAGTTTGTTTTAAAACGAGGTGGTGTGGATGCAAGTTTTTGGAGGGGCGGATATTCGTTTAAAAAAAAACAGCTACGTGTGGACTAGGCCTTAAGTGAAGGTTTGATTACAGCAATCTTAAAATCCAGTGGTACGTATCCATTTACTAAGGATAGATTGATTATTTCTAGAATCGGGGCAGTAACCAAAGGAAATGCATCTTTAAATAATTTGGTTGGGATTAGATCTAAAATGCAAGTTGAAGGTTTAGATGAAGCTAATATTTTTGATAAATCTGAAAGCTCAACTGGATCAAAACGGTTCAAACACAGATGAGGTTCTACAGTCACCTCTGATGCTGCCTCACTTTCGTTGCTGCTGAGGGCTAAGCGAATAGATGGTTCAGAGCTATGATTCTGTGTAAGTTTGGCAACTGTACTGAAAAGTAATTTAGGATTATTCTTATTCTCCTCAATTAAATGCTGAAAAATAAGCAGTTCTAGCTTGTCGAAGCTTATTTTTATAAAGCACAAGACTATTTTTCCAGGATAAGTAGGACTCCTCCTGGTGTGTAGAGCGCCATGTTCTCTCCAGTTTTCTAGAGTTTTGTTTTAAAGTTTGTAAATGAGAATTAAACCAGGGAGCCAACAACCTTTGCTTAATCACCTTCTTTTTAAAGGGGCAACATCATCTAATGTCACACATAAAGAAGTAACATTATGAACTAGATCATCAATTTGTGAAGGGCAAGAAATGAAAATATTGCCCTCTGCTACGTTCCTCTGAGATGCTGAAGACAGTAAAGATGGAACAGTTGATTTAAAAGATGCAACAGCGTTGTCAGATAGAGACTGACTATAGTGAAATTTACTTTCATGTCTAGAGAACTAAGTTAAAAAAAACTGAAAGGTTATCAAAAAGTGGTCCAAGAGGACTGGATTATGTGGAAATATCGTTATTTCCTCACACTATGCATAAGTCAGCACAAGGTCCAATGTATGATGGCAGGAGTGGGTGGAGCTATGTATTCTTTGGGTAAAACCAATTAAGGCTACATTGAGGCTATCGTTTTCAATGTCCACATGAATATTAAAATCCCCCACTACAATGACCTTATCAGTATTTAGCACCAAATTGAGAGTAAGGGCCTGGTGGACAATACAAAACTACAAACAAGAGTGGTTTTAGTTTTGCAATCTGGATTAGGAAAACTCAGAATAAGATATTCAAAAGAACTGTAACTATTAATTGGTAAGGGATTTATAAACAAATCTGAATGAAAAACAGTATTTATCCGGGTACGTGTGGACAGAATTTGTTTTAAAACGAGGTGGTGTGGATGCAAGTTTTTGGAGGGGCAGTTGCTACTCCTCCTCGCCCTGTAATATACATATACAAATATATATATATATATATATATAAACAGCACAATGCCACAGATGTCATAACCTTTGAGTGAGCATGCAATTGGCATGATGACTGCAGGAATATATATAGATATACACGCATCCTTAGGTTACAATGATCCAGTTTCATGGTATTTGTTATGTTACCTAAGAGATTAACCATGTAGAAATATGATCCTATGCAACAGACAACTTTTAGAGTAAAATAGAGAATTCCTTTTTAGTCCCTCAGGGAAGAAATTTTGGTGTAACAGGTTAGTGCCAACAAAGAAAAAATAAGATAAAAATGATCAAAACTTGACTGTAAATGCACTTCCTGGCATGTTTAACCATCCATCACGTAATTCCTTTCTCATTTCCTGCCCTACCAATCACAAAATGTACTGCTGCAGCGTTCAACATTATATCAAAAATAAAATTGTCACTGGTTTCAGTGGGCACTTCATTTATTCCAATAAGATCATTACACACATTTAAATATAAAAGTAATAAAAAGCATGACTTTCAGGTTGGGTTGTTGGGTGAATCCCAACTCTTTAATGATAGTATTCTCTTGTTTCCAGCGTGTTACCCAACTGTTCTCTTTGCTACACTGTTGAGGAAAAACAACACATTTATATGTTTCCCTTTTTTAACACTTTTAGACAGAAATGATTTCACATTAAAGGTAAATACTGCAGCCTTGTGGTTATGCAAACACATGAAGTATACACATACTTTTGAATTTATGGGTTTTCTTGTTTATTCTGTTTTAAATTTTCTAATTAGGAGGCAAAAAGGTTCTTCACTTCCTCTACTCAAGCACGGACAAACACCAATCTGGCAGTGTAGGCCAAGTCAGCAAGGTAAAACAGGAAGTTGAGGGCAGTGAGCACGGCTACGGTAATCACATTGTTAGATTCTCTGCCTCTGCTCTGGTACTGGTACTGCTTGCCAAACTGGAAGACGGGCCAGACAATGGTAGCGGACAGATACATGAGGACCGCCAGCAGCCCATAGGCTGACAGGAACTTGGAGAAAGGGATGGGAAGGTAGCCGGTACACTCTCCCACACACAGAACCACCACGGCCATGGAGAGGATGAAGCAGATGCAGTACACGGCCATGCACCACTTTAAGGCTGGATGCTGGTTGTATGACACGGGGTTGCTCACCAGGATGAAGATCACACAGGCCACAAATGTTTGGCACACTTTCATCAAACCGGGAGCCGTAGCCATGTAACCCGTCACCTCTCCTGGCTTGGCTTTGGTCAGGCTCACCTCCCACATGTAGACCACTGTTGCCAGGCAGGAGAAGACTGTAGAGACGATACGATAGTCACGGACCTCGTAGTAGAGTTGCTGGTCCTTTAGGAAAAACACTGGGAAGATGACAGTGGCTGACAGGCAGAGGAGGCAGGCATAGCAGGCTACCGTGATGGGGAAGTTGGACCAGGAGACGGGGATTCGGGCCTGGAGGCCGCACTGCTCCACCAGCAGAACCAGACAGGAGCAGGCGAAGCTTAAAGCCCAGCAGAAGATGCACCAGTCATTCATGCTTCCAAGGGGCAGCGCAGCCCCGTGTGCCGCAACGCTGAATGCAACACAGGTGAACAACACGGCAGCAACACGCACCCATAGCAGCTGGGAGCTGGGGAACACAACCACAGGCATGATGGGATGTCCCAGTCGGTCTGGTTGGGTGGAACCCTGTAGGTTGAGTAGATACTTCAAACCGTTGTGAGGTCTTGTGTCAGCTGCTTGTCACACACTCCTTTGGTATTTCTCACATAGTCTGTGGAAAGAAAGTAAATGTAATCAGAATAAACTGGTGCAGACTGTGTGAGTTTTTATTCAAGGGTGAACCTGAAAACTTGTTTGATTAGATATTCTAATACAGAGGTCTGCACAATCCAAAGAGCCGTTTTACCCCTCAGTCCACCAAAGAATGATAAATGACTCACACTAGGGCCTTTCTGAGCCAAAGGACTCCAAAGCACCTTACACTACAGAGTATCATTCATCCATTCACACCCTGGTGGTGATGAGCTACATGCACATTGACAGGGGCGAGTCTGCCGAGCACTGGCACCAATGGTCCCTCCGACCACCACCAGCAGATAAAGTGGGTTTTGCCCAAGGACACACCAGCAGAATTCTCTGTCCAGAACCTGCAACCTTCCGATTACTGGACAACCTTGGTTTAGAGCCGCAGCAACACATTCTCACACCCGACGTGTTGAAAAATGACGCTAGGTGACCAAGCGTTTGTTTCCCACTCCCACAACGTTGGAAACAAACGCTTGGTCACCTAGCGTCATTTTTCAACGCTTCGGTTGTCAGAACATGTTGGTCATTCTGTTATGGAAAATAATTGCCATTATTATATCAATTATTCCATGAAAAAAAGACTTCTGCATTTGTAGGAGATCTTTATTTAAAACATGAGTTGGTTTGTTTTTAATCATTTGTAGTCAGAATTCTGAAGATCCATCTTGGAAGCACCAAAGAGCCACTTGTGGCTCCAGAGCCACAGTTGCAGACCCCTTTTCGAGACTATTTGTTAGTTTTGGAGGTTCAGAATCTGTCACAGATGAACTGTAAATGAGATGGCTGATTATTGTTTTACCCTAGCCTAGACTAACATGTCTCGGCTCAAACTGAAGTAAAGGGGAGGAATGTTTGCGGCTTCCTGTTGAAGGTGTGAGCTGCACACACAGGAAGATGAAGTGAAGCTTCCTGTGTTTAAAAAGAGTTGGAAAGTCCCTCGGTTTCACCAAAAGGGACGATGAATCATTGTGTGGTGGCGTTCCATCACATCAATGCCTCCATCATTTTAACTGCTTCGTCCTCCCTGGAGAGCCAGTGTCCAACTCCACAAACAAGATATTTACAAGTTTTTAATTATATCAGAATTAATGCTTAATAGTAGAGATTATTTCAGGGTATCTGCAGGTTTAAGGACGCCAAATGTAAGACTTTTTAAGACCTTTTTAAGGCCACTTTGACCAAATTTAAGCTATTTTTTAAATTAAATTTAAGCTATAATGTCCAGCTACTGCCTGGAACCGGTGATAACCACGTCACGAACGTGGGATTAGCCATCCAGTTAAAATTAAACTGCACTTCCCCATGGCAAAAGCTCCCACTAGCTTAACCATCTAAAAATGGCCGCCTTTCACAACCAACTGGATGTGTACGGTTCCGCTTACGCCAACCTCATACACAAAAAATGCTGAAGACTAACTAGAAATTCACGAAAATTTTATTGAAATAAAAGAATCTTGTTAATTGTGTCTTTTGTAATTTAAGACCTTTGTAAACTGTTCTTAAGGATTATTTGCCCCTTTTAAGGATTTTTAAGGCCTTAAATTTGGAAAAGCAAATTTAAGACTTTTTAAGGACCCGCAGATACCCCGTTTTATAACCCTCCCACTGTCCTAATGGGTGTGATCCCGCGAGGAAAGTTGACCATTGAGTTAGATCGATGGTTTATCCCTTGGGTCCATGTGGCAGGGATGAGGAGTGAGCACCACCTCACCCCTGCCACGTGGACCTCAAAACTTCCAAAAGTAAGTTACGTGTAAGAAAAATGCTTTTTACTGGCGCACAGTGTGGTCATCTGGATGCAGAGGAGGAAAATAAAGGAACCAGCAGAAACGCAAAGGGAGAACCGGTCCAAAGTTTGGGATCAAAAGTGCAGCTACAAGCAGATTGGCTAATGCTAAAGCTAACGAGTAGCAGTCTCGCGATCAAGTGGCGCACAGAAAAATATATGATGATGATGATGATGGTAAAATTAAGAAAGACTAAACTCTACAAGCGGATGAAAAGTCCCCACCATCCTGTTTATTCTGCATCCTGCAGCGCTACGGATCGGAACCGCTGCAGATACGGGTCACATTACTGTTGGCGCAGGAAGTAAGGCAAGCCGTTGTAGTTTATAATTCACAAACTCTTCTATCTTTAAGCATAATTTGAACTGGATTATTGCCAACCCGTACATATTAGACTGGCCACCATAACATTGTTAGCAGCAGAAATTAAATTTTACTACCATTTCCAACACAAATGCATGTTAATGAAATTCATTATATTTTACTGGATATATTTATGTGTTATTTTGACTAAGATGAGTGTTATTAATACAAACCTAAAATGTTACTGAAATATAGGTCAAAAATTTAAAAATATTTAACTATAAATATCAGATGGGAAAAAAGGAACGAAACACTAATCTAATGCATTTTATTAAGCCTTTTATAATATTTTGCCTTTATAAAAGTGAGGCACTTGAATGCACAGAGTATGCATGTGCTGGCGCATGGTCAGGATGGTACCACCTCTGCCTCAATTTGAGCCAGGAAAACCCCCGGTTTAGGTAACTGTTTGATTTCAATACTGAGCACAGAATGAAGATTCGACAGTTGGTTAAACTCAGAGTTCAAACCTGATTTAGGTCAGGAAATGGTTTGTCTCACTGTTGTTATCAGTGACATTTAGCATGTAAATGAGGAGAAAGATATCGGCGGCACATCAGCGTTGGCATCGAGAATAGGACAACACATATCGGTCTCTAATTCACACCTAGGATCCCAGACAACCTAACGTGGATGGTTTGGGTCTATGGTAGGAAGCCGGTGCACCTGGAGAAAACCCAAGTGTTCATGGGTAGATTTTCAGACTTCAAACTGAGCATAGATGAAATCAGAAAATACGAACAATTAGATTTTTCCCATTGTTCCCTAAAATGGAACAAGAGATAGCCTGAATGGTGCTCCGTCCACAGTGGTGCAGGTGTTGCACCAGTCTGTTGTGGTAAAGAGACAGCTGAACTGGAAAGAAAAGCTCTGGATTTTCCCGTCAATCTACTTTGGCCACGAGCTTTGAGTAGAGACTGAAACAATGAGATGGTGGGAACAAGTGACCAAAATGAGTTCTGTCGGGCCTGGGACAAGGACGGAAGACCCAGGACTCGCTGGAGGCTTTTTCATGGCTGGCCTGGGAATGTTTATGTTTAAGTATTTAGCAGATGCTTTTGTCCAAAGCACCTTATAAGTGATAATCGGCATGTTGCCCTTGAGGCTAACAACAACAATAACAACAACTTGACATCAATCATGGAGAGTAGGGAACAAGGAGTGGACAGTAGAGAGGGGGGATGGGTGCAGGGAGGGTGCTAGTTTAGAAGATGCTCTCTGAAGAGCAGGGTCTTCAGGAGTTTCTTGAAAATTGAAAAGGAAGCCGCTGTTCTGGTAGAGCTTGGAAGGTCATTCCACATTTGTGGAACGATGCATGAGAAGAGTCTGGATTGTCCTGAGCGTGGTGTAGGCACACCACACACACAGGCTCACAACGACATTGTGACATCATATAGTACCAGCTAACATTCTAGGGTACCTCTTAGCCAATAGCGATGGCAGATTTAAATTCAAATGCAGTGCAGAGTTTTTACCTGACAACGGCACAACACTGACAGTTTTAGGCAGAACATTTAAATTTTAACTAAAATGCACCGAAGTGCAAAACTATTGACTACATGTGTCTGCAGCACAGTTAGACACACATTTATATTGTTTATCAGAAAAAAAGGTTGATATTGGGGGTGACTTGCTCTTTAAACTTTTACTTCACTGGAATAACGTATAGAAATCAGTGCACTGATGAGTAGGTTTACTTGCAATGTTTGCCTTGTAAAGAGTGCTGAATTGGCACTAAACTGAATTGAAATCTAATCTCTGTTTCTCCAAACTAAAGTCATTCAAATAGCTACCTACAACAACATTAATGTTTATAGCCCTTTCACCTCAACTATCGCTGTAATGTCTTTGTTTTACCAGACTCGGATGGTTTAACCTGGTTGTAATTTAGTGTCAATTCAATATTCAGATCCTCATGTCAAACGATTCCTCCTTTAACCTGAGCTGCAGTTTCGCCCTTCTAGGCTTCATGATGGACGATCTTTGCCTTCACTTGGTCTGAAAACTAGTGATGTGTCGGTCGCGAACGAACCGGCTCTAAGAGCCGGCTCTTTGAAGTGAACGATGGGAGCCAGCTCTTCATTGGGAGCCGTCCCCTCCCCTCTTGCTTTGGTGAAAGCTACAGACGATTGGTCAACATGTGTAACTGCGTGTCCAGACTGTCCACACACAGAGCAGTAGGGGCGGGGAAGAGGGAGGATCAGACTCAGACACACAGCAGAGCACATGCAGGTGGAGGGAGACGAGAGGGAACGAGGAGGAGGAAAAAGGCGAGCAAGAGAGAGGAGAGTGCGATGAAGACGGTGAGAAAATGAGCGCCAGCAGTCGGAAAGTGGAGATTTCTTAAAGTTTTCAGTTATTAAATCCATAGAAATGATAAATATTTGATACATTGCATTTTTTACATTGGTAAATAATTTTACATATAGTTTTGCATTATTTTAGTTATAAATGTACTCTACGCAACAGAAAATCTGAGGAGCCACTTGGGAGCCGGAAGAGCCGGCTCTTTTTGATGAGCCGAGCCAAAAGAACCGGCTCTCTAAAAAGAGCTGGAATTCCCACCACTACTGAAAACTGGAACCTTCATTAGCCTGACGTCAGCGGCTCATTTACTGTGATGACACACACACACCCAGGAAGCTGCACTGAGAGGCTGATCACATGCATAAATCATCTACTTTAATTTCGGACACATGGCTGGACACTGAGCTCTTTACAGAACTGGTGAAACAAGCTGAACAGATTCGGGAAGTTTCTGAGGAGATCAGCCACAAGTTGATGGTTGAAATGATGGTTCTCCTGCTGTAGCACACTGAGAGGGCTATGGTGAGTGTGGCTGACTGGAAACCAACTTTTAGTTTTATTTCTAAGGTTTATAGTACTGGTGCATACTTGCAGCCTGTATATGTACTCTGCTATGAGGAAACCAGGCCTCAGCTGCAGCAAATAACCCAAATATTACAGCTGATTATTAACGCTGGAAACAAAAAAGTGTCTAAGTCGTAGACTCTACCTGTTGCAAACAGATACAGGACAGTGCGTAAACATGTCTGATCTTTATACCTAAAAGGACGTAGCAGACTTATTAGCGCTTCCTGTCCCTAATAGCGGACATACCGCGCCCACTGTGATCATCGCTGCTCCATAAATAGATCCTGATGAAAACCGGAAATAGCCCAAACATAAATTTGGTACGAAAATAATAAAATACAGCTGAGCTTACCGATTTCTTGGCTCGAAGTTGCCGATTTTGTTCTGAAAACGTAAGTTTCCGTGGGGCCGAGCAGATTCCCTACAGAATGTATCCCCCGCCCCGCCCCGCCCCGTGCTGCCCATATTTGGTAAAGTGTTCAAACCCACTCCCAGCCTGCCTGCGCGTTCCTGTCCTCAAGGGCTCACGTCTGGGGAAAAAGGCTTATATGGACACGATCCATGGTGTGGAAGCCCGTAACTGCCATAGAAAGAAGACAAAAATTATAATTGCATTAAAACACTTCTGAGTTAGATTAAAGTTAAAATTAGTTTCAAATAAAGTTAAACCATTCATCACACTTATGAGGTTGAATGTCCTAATTAGCAGATTCAAAGTAACAAATATTGGGATCAGAGTTATTATTGGATTCCAAGTAATTAGAAATGATGACTGTCCATTGCGTAGGGGATCTGGCTGTCTAGCTGGGGTCTAGGGTGGTGGGTTGCTTTGCTCAGCATCAGAGGCGGTTTTACCATTAGGCATAGGTAGGCGGCCGCCTGGGGCCCCCTTGTGTTGGGGGGGGCCCCTAACCCTGACCGCCGTCACCCCTCTGTTAATGCCACAATATTCTTATTACCAACCTGTGGCCGCAGACGGGATTGGACATGTGCACTTCTCATTACCATAATTCCTGAACCGTTCAAGATATCATTAAAATTCCGAAAGTGCTGAAAAGATTAAAACTGGGCTTTTCGTGCATATACAATACATTACGGTAGCCACCGGGATTCCCTGTCTTGAGCGCATCGAATCGCAACACAGATTCAGAGATGTGCTGAGTTTGTCATCCAAAATGCTCCGTTTTATAACTTTTGAATGGCTGATCAGATTCAAATAATTCCAACGGTTCCTAAAAGTACATAAAAGCAGCTTTCCAACGATCTACAGCATGCTGTAGATAAAGCAATCAGAGTTATGGAAAATATCGCTACGAGGGGAAATCCTGCTGTACAGCCTGATTGAAACGGAGCGCAGCGCCGCGGTGAAAGCGGATAACGGAACGGGGAAGCTAATAAGCATAAAAAGCCATCATGAAATTATGGAAATGCCTCAAAGAAAATCAACACGATCTATTAGGTGTCCCAGAAGGCTTATATCTGAAGACAGTGACCACGAAGCAGGACAGATATCCGGTGAACAGGAATATGAACGTTTGTTCAGTCTTTATTTTTTTATTTGAACAATCCTCAGCTATTTGCTAATTGTAAGATTCAGCTTCATTCCAGCATTATTTATCTTTTTACAGTAAATAACTATATTTGCTAAAACAAAAGTTTTTGGTATAGCAGCACGGTGTGCAAGAGAAGCATCCCATGGCAGTGTGAGGTGCGCAGGACTCTGCCTGCAGCTGGAGAGAAACTGCTTCAAGGTCTACCACATCAAATAAAAACGTCTGAAAGTTTACAAAAATAAATGGTCTTAAATCTGCTAAAAAAGATACCAAGGTTCAAACTTTTTTTTAATAATAGATGCATTACAGTTTAAAGTTTAAATTGTTTGCCCAGTAAATTAGAAGTTCCTGTTCAGTAATAAATGTAAAAAATTCAAATCTGTTTTTTGCTTTTTTCACTTTTAAGCTGATTTTTTAAAGGCTTTAATAGAAATAAATTCTAAATACAAACCAGATGCTGAAAGCTGAGGTTGTTCTGTAAAAAGGAGAGAGTTACACACACTTGGCACTTTTTATTACAATTTTACAGCCATAAGATTTAAAAAATACCAGGCAGCCCTGTTATAATTATTAAGACGGCGATGCACAAACTGGAAGTGATTGGTAGTCATTCCACTCCAATCCAGTTGGTGGCGGTAATGCACCAAATTGTTGTTTGCCAAGTGCCATAAGACCACAAATAAGAAGACGAAGAGAGGCGGGAGCCTTCGTAACCAACTCAAAGCGATAGTCAAATCATTAAGCATGAAATGGAGTTATCCTAGTGGCTCCAATAAAAGAAAGAAGCAGCTTGCTTCATAAAAGCTTTTATTTTCACTTCTGAAAGTGACGTTGTTTTTCTAGGTAAACATCAAAAGGAAGCAGAAAGGAAAGACAATGGAAAATGTTTAAAGGGAGGAAAACATAGACCAAAATGGAAAATAGAAAAAAATAACTAAGGCTAAAGCACAGGAGCACTGACAGGAAGAAGAAAGCAGAGCACATTTTGAAAGCACTCAAAGGGAGAGAAATACAGGGAAAAAGAGGAGGACTAATAAAAAGGGAAAATAACTCATGTCAGAAGAGGGGAGTTTCGCAAATCCAGTTAAAGGTAAGATTGTCGAAAATTTTGTGTAAGGGGCCCCAAGTCTGTGTTCGCCTTGGGCCCCCAAATTGCTAAATCCGCCCCTGCTCAGCATTGGGCGGGTGAGCCTGCCCATCAGCACCCCAGCAGAAAGGGTCGAACTCTGGGAACCAGTAATGGTTGTACCCCATGTGCAGCAGTACTGGGACCAGAGTGAATAGGGTGTGTATGGGGAGCATACACGTGCATTTGAGTGAGTCTTAGGTTGTATGTGTATGTGTGAGCATGAAGAAGGGAGTGTGTGACTGTGTTTGTGTATGATTGTATATGTCAGGTGGGACCTTTGACTCCTCCCCTCTTCTGGGACTTCTTTTGCTGCTATTGACCCTTTGCACTTGACGTCACGCCTCTCATGTGACCGCCCCCTTTGCCATGATGGACTACAAAAAGACCGTTTACACCCGTTGAAACTCCAGTGAAGCTAGGCAAAACAAGCCAGTTTGTAGCCTTTTATCGCTTTTATTTACACTCAACAAAATTATAAACGCAACACCTTTGTTTCTGCTCCGATTTTTCATGAGATGGACTTAAAGATCTAAAATTCATTTCAGATACACAATATTACCATTTCTCTCAAACATTGTTCACAAATCAGTCTAACTGTGTGATAGTGAGCACTTCTGCTTTGCTGGGATAATCCTTCCCACCTCACAGGTGTGCCACATCAAGATGCTGATCCGACATCATGAGTAGTGCACAGGTGTACCTTATACTGCCCACAATAAAAGGCCACCCTGGAATGCTGAATGTTATTTATCGTGATATTTATCAAATATTGTTATATATTGAGAAAAATATATATTTAATTATAAAAGATAATTAAAATAATAAACACTCAAAAGTATCGAAAATTTGTACCGTTAAGTACCGGTATCGATTCCTAGGTACCGGGAATTGGTACCGAATCAATTCAAATGTCAAAGGTACTCATCCCTAATCCTGCTGACTGGCCACAGCAGTTGAAAAAAATGGAAAGTAGAACTTTCTTTATGATGACACTTTGATATTTGAGTTTTGCTTTTGATTGCACAGTTTAATGTTGCTTTTGATATTGCATCCCCCCCCAATGACGTTTGCACAACATTTTGAGTTGTTGGTTATTGTAATATTCTCAGGTTACTTATCTTCCAAGCTTATATTTATTCTTCAGGCTGTTGACTTTAAAGAGTTGCTGTGTGAATATCTAAAATAAAAAATAGTAACTAAGGAATCACTGTAGTTACTTTTTCCAATGTGTGGTGGGTGGATGGACTTGGGTTCGGGTGAGAGTCGTGCAGGCACGGAGGGGGGGGCAAATGGGCACTCTCGCCTTGGGCACCAAATTACCCAGAGCCGGCCCTGTGCTCCTATAGAGAAACCTTACATAAACAAGCGTGTGTACGCACACAGGTGCTCACATGGTGCTCTCATATGTATGGACTTGGGCACGTTCAACACATGTCGGCTGTGGTTGCCTCTGACTGAAGACACTCTTCCATTGTTGGACAGTCTTGTGAAGAGAATGCTCAGGGTTGTCCATGATTTTCTTGATTCTCTGGAGAATCCTTCTTTGCATTATCTCCTCCAGTGGTTCTGAAACTCTGGCTGAGTCCTTGAAAAGGCTTGGAGTTCCTCCATCTTGTTGGCCAGTGATCTCACATTGCCCATTATGATCGATGGAAGAGATGGTTTGAATTTCCTCTTTCTCTGTCTCCGTTTTGCTCCCGCTCTGCATCCACACGTCTTGCGTTTTAGCTCATTTGGGATTTGTGGCTTCAGTTGAGGTATTATTTCAGCCTTTCCAATGTTAATCAGCTGCTCCCGATTGTAAACCAGCTTGTTGCCATGGTTACACATCATAACAAATGCTCAAAAAGTGAAAAAAGCTATTAAAAAAAGCAGTAAATATCCTCCAAGCTTCACAGCACCAGAAACCGAAAAGTTAAGTGTCCAAAAAATACAGTTTTTCTTGAGAAACTAGAAGAAAAAATGCCCAAGAAAAGGCTAAACTTACAGTTGTGGTCAGAAGTTTACATACACTTGTAAAAAATATAATATAATGGCTCTACTGAGTGTCCCGTTATTTCTAAAACTCTGATTTTTCTCTGATAGAGTGATTGGAACAGATACTTCTTTGTCACAAAAAAACATTCATGAAGTTTGGTTCTTTAATGTCTTTATTATGGGTTAACAGAGAAAAGTGATCACATTTGCTGGGTCACAAATATACATACAGCAGTGCTAATATTTGGTTACATGTCCCTTAGCCATTTTCACTTCAATCAGGCGCTTTTGGTAGCCATCCACAAGCTTCTGGTTGAATCTTTGACCACTCCTCTTGACAGAATTGGTGAAGTTCAGTTAAATTTGATGGCTTTCTGACATGGACTTGTTTCTTCAGCACTGTCCACATGTTTTCAATGGGGTTTAAGTCAGGACTTTGGGAAGGCCATTCTAAAACCCTTATTCTAGCCTGATTTAGCCATTCCTTTACCACTTTTGATGTGTGTTTGGGGTCATTGTCCTGTTGGAACACCCAACTGCGCCCAAGACCCAACCTTCGTGCTGATGATTTTAGGTTATGTTGAAGAATGTGAAGGTAATCCTCCTTCTTCATTATCCCATTTACTCTCTGTAAAGCACCAGTTCCATTGGCAGCAAAACAGACCCACAGCATAATATTCCCACCACCATGCTTGACTGTAGGCATGGTGTTCTTGGGGTTAAAGGCCTCACCTTTTCTCCTCCAAACATATTGCTGGGCATTGTGGCCAAAAAGCTCGATTTTCGTT